TTGTCAACCAAGTCATAAAGGACTTCTTTGATCAGAATGAGACTTTTCATCAACTTTCTGCCGCCAGAACCCCTCAACAGAATGGCGTAGCAGAAAGAAGGAACATAACCTTAAAAGAAGTTGCAAGAACAATGATTGCAGAATCTGGATTGCCTATGAGATATTGGGCTGAAGCAATCAACACTGCATGCTATACTCAGAATAGAAGCATGATCAACAAGAATCACCAGAAGACCCCTTATGAACTCTGGAAGGGAAGAAAACCTAACATCAGCTATTTTCATGTATTTGGATGCAAGTGCTACATTCTTAACAATGGAAAGGAGCATCTGAAAGTATTTCAAGAAAAGGCTGATGAAGGAGTCTTTATAGGCTATTCAAACACCAGTAAAGCCTATAGAGTACTCAACAGAAGGACTCTACATGTTGAAGAATCTATACATGTGAAGTTTGATGAAAGCACCTCTGTTAAAGAGGTAACATAGATTCTCAAGGAAGTTAGCATAGAAGACAGAACACCAGAACCAACAGAAGAGGTAGCAGACAATCCTGCATTTCCAACACCTGCACCAAACCCCCTTCTGTTGAATGAAGCTGAAGACTCTGAAGATGAGGAACCAGAGAGACCAAGACAGCAGCTGACAGAACCAGACCTAACATGGTTAAGAGATCATCCTCCTAACCAAGTGATTGGTCAAATCAGAAGTGAAGTTCAAACCAGATCCACATCTAGAAGAGAAGCAATGCTTGCCTGCTATATATCTCAAATGGAACCTATGACTGTTGAAGAAGCTCTTGCAGACTCAGATTGGATCAATGCTATGCAAGAAGAGCTTACTCAGTTTGAAAGGAACAAAGTATGTGAACTTGTTCCTAGGCCAAAGCACCAGAATGTCATTGGAACCAAATGGGTATTCAAGAACAAAGCTGATGAAGATGGCAACATTGTAAGGAATAAAGCAAGGTTAGTAGCTAAAGGATACTGTCAGGAAGAAGGAATAGATTTTGATGAGACTTTTGCACCAGTTGCCAGACTTGAAGCCATCAGAATCTTTCTAGCCTATGCTGCTTACAACAACATCAAGGTCTACCAGATGGATGTCAAGAGTGCATTTCTGAATGGAGATCTTGAAGAGGAAGTTTATGTGGAACAACCACCAGGTTTTGTCATTCCTACTCAATCCTCTTATGTCAACAAGCTTAAAAAGGCCCTCTATGGTCTTAAGCAAGCTCCCAGAGCCTGGTATGACACATTGTCCCTTTTCCTGGTGAACCATGGGTTTACTAAAGGAAAGGTTGACAAAACTCTTTTTCAAATCTCTGTTGCTAATCACATTCTGTTAGTACAAATACATGTTGATGATATTATATTTGGAAGTACTAATCTAGAACTGTGCAAGAAATTTTCCCAAGTGATGCAGAGCCAATTTGAAATGAGTATGATGGGAGAACTCAGTTACTTCCTAGGACTTCAAGTCAAACAAGTTCCAGAAGGGATCTTTATCAATCAAGGGAAGTACACCAGAGATCTAATCAAGAAGTTTGGAGTGGAAGGCAAATCATTAGTGAAGATTCCCATGAACACTTCACAAGGAATTGGTCCAGATGATGAAGGAAAGGATGTAGATGCAACAACATATAGAGGAATCATAGGATCTCTGTTGTATCTAACTGCAAGCAGACCAGACATCTCGTTCTCTGTTGGAATCTGTGCCAGATACCAATCAAAGCCCAAGGAAAGCCATCTAAGTGCTGCAAAGAGAATCATCAGATACATCAAAGGAAATCCAAATGCAGGCCTATGGTATCCAAAGGGAGGTAACTTTGAACTAATTGGTTATTCTGACTCAGATTTTGCAGGTTGCAGACTAGACAGAAAGAGCACCTCTGGTCACTGCCAATTTCTAGGAGGAAGGCTTGTTTCCTGGTTTAGCAAGAAGCAGAACTCCATCTCAACAAGTACAGCTGAGGCTGAGTACATTGCAGCTGGGAGTTACTGTGCTCAGCTACTCTGGATGAAGCAACAACTGAAGGACTATGGAATTCAAGCAAAGGAGATCAAGCTATTGTGTGACAACACCAGTGCCATTGCTATCACTCAGAACCCAGTTCTTCATTCCAGGACAAAGCACATTGAGATCAGACATCACTTCATCAGAGATCATGTTGAGAAGAAGCACATTTGCATGGAACATGTGCCAACAGAGGACCAGCTTGCAGATATCCTGACAAAGCCTCTTCCTGAGGCTAGGTTCAACAAACTGAGAGAGGAATTGGGAATGATGGATGAGATTCCAAGGGAAAGTTGAAAAGGAAGGCCCTCTGTTGCTCATTTGCTGTTAACAGAATACCTGTAGCAGAACCCCTTCTGTTAACCCCTTCTGTCAACCTCTTCTGATCCCTACCCTGGCAGAACACCTCAGCAACAGAAAACCCCTCCTCTACAAAAAAAACCCTCTCTTGTCTAACAGAAGGTGGCGGACTTAGAAAATTCTGTAAACCGGGTGACCTAGTAAATTATTAAAGGTCTTTTACCCTTTTACCCTTAAAACGGTATCAAGCCGTATAATATTTACTGCGCCCCCGTTTATTTACTGCGCCCCTTTTTACATTTATTGGTATCTTGGAACCGTAAATTATCTCAAACGTCCACTAACCCATATCCACAAAACCCCCTTTTCGCAAACCTAAACCGTTACTGCTCTCATAACTCTCAAGCTTTTGAACTCTTATCTCTCCAAAAACTCTCTAACCGCAGTAAACTCCATGGCTTTCTTGAGCTTCTCCGATCTCTCAAAGGAACAAAAGGCAACTCTCCTGAAGAATGTACTGACAGGCATGAGATGCGAACTGGAAGTCCTACCCAGGTTCGCAGAGAAAAAGGAGAGGATGACCTCCATTGTTGACGGACTGTCACAATGTCAACTGAGCAAGGTCATCTCTCATAATTATGAAGCCTACAGCAACGTTGACACCGTTTAGTTCTATCTCAACGCATCCTTCAAGGATGAAACCATCTCCTCCGTCGTCCAAGGAGAAGAAGTTTTGATTGATGCTAACGTCATCAATAACATCTTCAATATTCAACAAGAGGAAGGTAGGGCCTCTCTACTCGATTTGGAGGATACTGACATCCCTCTGCTAGAATTCAAGAAGAAGTTCTGCAGAAAAGGGGAAGAAGTAGAGAAGGTCAACATCAAGAAGAACTTGCTCAAGAAGGAATTTGAGCTGCTCATAAACATTTTCCACAAATGTTTATGGTGCAAGTACACCTCCACAGATGATGTCACAACTGCCAATGCAAAGGCCCTTTATGCAGTGCATCATGGGGTAAACATCAATTGGGGACAAGTCATGGTGAAGTCCCTGATTGAAGTGATCAAGAAGAAGAACCCAAAAACTAGCCTCTATTCTGGGAAGCTAGGACATGGACTACTCATTTCAGAAGTGCTCCTCAAACAAGGGGTACACTTGAGGAATGCTTCAGCTTTGGATCACACCAAGGTAATTTTCTTGACTGCTTCTCCAAATAGGGAGAAAGCCATAAAGGCAGAAGTGAAGAGACAGCTTCAACTTGAGGCTAAAAGACAACAAGGAGAGAAGGTACAGAAACCTCTCTCTGTAGCCCCTTCTGCTAAGAAGAAGAAGAAGACTGAGAAGGCAGAACCTGTTGCTCCTCCAAAGGCTGGACAGAAGAGGAAGAGGACCACAAAACCCAAGGAGAAGGTTACTAAACCTGTGGTTTCTGTGTCTGAGGGAGTGGCAGACACTCAGGGGGAACCAGAGATCCCCACCTCTGCTGCATCTCCTGAACAGAACAGGGTGCCAACTCCACCAGAGCACCCCAGCCCTGTTAAAGATGGGTATCTGTCCTTGCTTGACAGACAGTTTACCCGGGTCCTTGAATGGAGAAGATGGACAATGGGACCCCTCCACAAAATAATTCAGTTTTTTGATCACTATGAGGCAGAAGAAGAAGCCATTCTGAACTGGGTTGGGACTGATGATGTCTCAAAGTGCTTTGCCCTCAACTTTCTTCACTCTGTCCTTGAGAAGAAGAAGGCAAGCTACAAAGGAAAGGCTGTTCTCATTTCTTCACCCTCAGAGGAAGCTGTCAAACCTTTAGAAGATGGAGAAATTGCAGCCTTTGAAGAATGGCTGTTCACCAAGATGGCAACAGACTCTGTACAGCCCAACTTCAACCCAGGAGAGTCCTCTGTACTCAAGTCAGAAGGACAAGCCATGATGGAGCATATCAAGGAGTGGAGGACTTCATTGCTCGAGGAAAACATCATTGAGGTAAACTCTCCAACCCCCTCTGTTTTTATCCCAACAGAACCCCACATTCCCTCACCTCCTTCCAGCACCAGAACCCCTCCACCAGAACACCCTCAACCTAAATCTCCTAAACAGAAAACCCCCACCCCTCCTCAATCACCCAAACAAAAAATTGCATCTCCCTGCAGAGCAATTGTTCCATTCAGAAACCGTTCACCTTCACCTCCACCATTCCCCCCTCAACAGAATGCCTCACCTATTCAATCTTCACCCCAGCACCAGAACCCCTCACCCCAACAGATATCCTCTTCATCCTCTGAATCTGATCATCAATCCCCTCCACCAGAATCAACTCCTCCACAACAACCTGCAGAGAATCTTAAACCTGTATGGTTTCTCAGAGACTCAGACCCTACAACTGTCTCTCCCATCTCTGCACCAAAAGGGTATTCTAGGGACTCTGTTGCCCCCAATCCCTCCCTCAGAAAGAAGAAGAAGATAGTCCGCAACAGAATACCTATCTACTCTACTTATGAAGATTCCTCTGACATGGATGGATTCATGATCAGCAAATCCTACAAGGCCACATCAAAGAGACAAAAGACCCCTCCTCTGACTCAACTGGAACATGAACAACGTGTCCAATCTCTATCATCTGTCCAAGAACATCACCCATTGCCTAGGGGAAGAGGTCTAGAGATGCCTCAAGCTGATGGACAACAGAACAACATCCCCTTCAACAAATTTGTTGAATCTGCTGAAGACTTTGGAGGACAGATCCTCCAAGGCATGAACAAACCAATAGAGATCAATGAAAAACACTATGGGCACCTTGCTCATGTGAATGACAATCTAAACTCAGGTATGCAGTTCATCTCTGATCGTTTTGAGAACCTCACAGGAACTCTCAACAACTTCATAGCCTCATCCTCTGCCAGAACAGATGCCCATTTCAACAGAAGTGGTAGGCATCCACAACACACTCTCTATCTTTCAACAGACTCTCCTGAGTCAAGGACATGCAATCCACACTATCTCATAGCATCTTGAGGCTCTGAAGGAATCTGATGCCAGGACAGAGAGGCACTTGACCTCTATTGAGGCAATGTGTAGAGTTCATCAAGAACAGGCTCAAGCACTCCTATCTACTGACAGAGACCGTTATCAGAAGATGGTGCTCCTTGAAGCCAATAACAAGGACATCTTCTCTGCCATACAGAAGCAGCAAGGTCTCATTGAAGGCCTTACCTCTGTCACCCAGACTCTACCAGAGGCCCTGGAGCAGATAGCCTCCACTCAGGCCTCAGAATTCCAGAAGATCAGTCTTATGATAGAAGATCTGAATGATGCCAAAAAGGGGGAAGAGGACCCTCAACAGACTAGGCCTAGGTCCCACAGAACTCCTACTAGGGCACCCTCCTCTGCTGAGCCTGCAGTAGATCCGGCTCCCTACTTTGAAGCTGCCCTACAGAAGAAGAGAGCAGCAGGCATACCTAGACCCCCATCTCCAGTTAAGAAAAGCACCAAGAAGAAGAAAGTTTTTAACTTCACTGAATGGAGATTGGGTGGTTCTCAGAAAATTGACAGAGCTCAATTTGAAGAGATGAAGGCCAAAATGACTCCTACCCAACAACAGCACCTCTATTTGGACAAAGATGGTGTTGTCAGAGTTAGGTATGGGGGATCACTAGAAGAAGCTGAAGAATGGTATAAGAAGAACATTGTCCCAGGAAAGACTATACATGAAGGTGTTCTCAACTATTTGGACTGCAAGCTTTCTCCAATTTGGGCATCTTATCAAAGGTCTGGCAATCTTTTCAAAATCAGAGCTGAAATAAACGAAGAACTGCTCAAGCTTCAAAGACTAGAGGAAGAAGCTCTACAGGCAGCTAATCTGGAGAATGTGTAAGGTTTAAACTCTGTAAAACTTATATAATAAAATCACATCTCTGCCTTCTTACTTTGAAGTGCTTTTCCTCAAATTCTTGTCTTTTTGCCTTCTGCTTGTGTTTGTTTACTTCTTTTATATTCTGCTATCTGAATGTACCGTACTCTTACTATTTTCCTATGCCAAGTTGCCCACCAAGATTTTAATGGAAGTTTTTAAACTTAATCTTTCTTTATGGTGAAGGCACTTCTCTGGAAATAGTTAAAGGGTTTTGGCATCATCAAAAAGGGGGAAATTGTAAGGAATAATTGTATTTAGATTTTGATGATGCTAGATTAATTAGGACTTTAGAGTACCCCTATTTGTATTTAATGTATTAGAATTTTCCATTGTAAAGTTCTTAGAGTAATCGACTTGACAGAATGCCTTCAGAGCAGAAGACCTTCTGAGCAGAAGGGCTCCAAGAGCAGAAGACCCTCATAAGGCATTATTGAAACAGAGGACCTTTGGTTCTCTGCTCCAGAACAGAAGACCTCAGGGTCTCTGTTAGTCTTTACTCTGACAGAAACCCTTCTGGGTCTCTGTTGGATATTCTCCCAACAGAAGTGCTCCAGACCTTCTCTGTTCTACTCTCAGTTAAAGACACCAGAAGGTCTGACACTTAGAAAAATTTCACAGAACCGGGAAGTCAACTAAAAGATTCCTTCAACGGCTAGGAGTATGAAACGGAAAAGCTACAGTGCACGCATTAAATGCTCATTTAATGCACCCCATGCTACGTAGAGTAATTGCAGATGATTGGCCGCATTGTCAGGAATACTTTATCCCAAAATAGTAACCCGCCAACTTTACCGGGCTCTACTAGTCAAGTCAACTGATCGCTCATTTAATGCAGTTGTCCTCCTACTCCTCCAACGGGAAGACAACCTCAGTATAAAAGATACACTACGAAGAACAAACGGATAACTTTGCAACTTTTGCTAACCATTGCTACAACTCTTCATACAAGATATTCAAACTCTGAAAAGCAAAAAGCCTCCTTGAGATTCAAACTCATTATCTTCTACAAGTGAAGGCAGAAGTTGGAAAAATACTTTTTCCAACTCAAGCAAAGTTCCAAGTGTTCTTCAACTCTTCAAGCTCATCACATACAAATCTTTTGTAACGAAGCTAGTTGGAGGAACCCCAGTTTCAACAGAAACTCTTCTTGCTACAAGAAGGACGTCCAAGTAACTGGAGTAGTGAAGTGGTGATACTTCAAGGAAACTCAGTGAAAGGATCAGTCTTAAAGGAAGCCAGGCAGTGCATCCCAGGAGACATCTATGCTTGAAGAAGACGTGGAGTGCTTCTTAAGTGCTAGTACTAAGGCTTTGTAAACGGAAGTTTTTACAGCTTAGTGGAACAGTGGACTAGAGGAACAAGTTGTTCCTTGAACCGCTATAAAAATCCCTGGTGTCGTCTACTTACTGCTTTAATATTTGCACTGAGATAGAACTGTTTAACTCCTCAGACTTGGTATCTGTGTTCAGCAGAACTTGTACTACGAGTTAACAGAAGGCCTACTACCTTTGCTTCTCTGAGGCTATATCAACAGAACTCCCTACCAGAACCCCATCCGCTGCCAGTCTGTTCTGCCAACAGAACAGGCTATTCTGTAAATCTGGTACTTAGTTTAAAAAACTAAAAACCAATACAGTCTATTCACTCCCCCTCTAGACTGTATCCAGTATAACCGGGACCAACACCCACACACACACTTTTCAGACCAGTGGAGACAAAAAATTAAACAGGCTCGAGGTTCAACATGCCCAACTTGGAGACCAGGAACTGGAATCTTTTTTCATCCAATGCCTTAGCGAACAAGTCATCCAGTTGAAGCTCTGAGCTTACAAAGTACATATCTATGTCTCCTTTCTCCACGTGATCCTTGATGAAATGATAGCGCAGATCAATGTGTTTGGTGCGGGAGTGGTGAACAGGATTGCTTGTGATGGCGATGGCGCTTTGAGAGTCACTGTAGATCGGGATGTGGCGGAAAGTGTAACCGTAGTCCTGGAGCTGAGTCTTCATCCATAATATTTGTGAACAACAACTAGCAGCCGCGACGTATTTGGCCTCAGTTGTAGATGTTGACACACAATTTTGCTTTTTGGAAGACCAGCAGACTAGCTTCTCGCCCAAGAATTGGACGGCTCCCGATGTACTTTTGCGGTCCATCCAGCAACAAGCAAAGTCAGCGTCCGAGTATCCGACTAGATCAAAGCATGAATGCTTGGGATACCAAAGGCCTAGATTCACCGTGCCTTTGAGGTATCTAAAAATTCGTCGTACAGCGGTCAGATGAGATTCCTTCGGATTGGCTTGAAAGCGAGCACATAAGCATGTGGGGAAGACAATATCAGGCCTGCTTGACATGAGATATAGCAAAGATCCAATGATGGCCCTGTAATTCGTAGCATCAACTGGCTTCCCGGAGGGGTCTGAGTCCAGTTTGTTGTTTGGGGACATGGGGGTTGTCATGGAAGATTTGCCTTCAATGTTGAATCTCTTTAGCATATCCAGAATGTATTTGGACTGATTGATGAAAATACCATCAGAGAGTCGTCTTACTTGCAGGCCTAAAAAGAAGTTAAGTTCACCCATCATGCTCATCTCGAACTTGGTTTTCATCAGTTTCTCAAAATGTTGGCACAGGCGCGGATTTGAAGAGGCAAAGATGATGTCATCAACATAGATCTGAATCAGAATGATGTCAGACTTCTGTCGCTTGATAAACAGAGTAGTATCAATCTTTCCTTTTGAGAAACCTGAATCGATCAAAAATTCGGTCAAGGCATCGTACCAAGCTCTGGGTGCCTGTTTCAACCCATAGAGAGCTTTCTTGAGCTTGTATACATGGTCTGGGAATTTTGGGTCTACAAATCCTTCTGGTTGAGCAACATAGACTTCTTCTTCTAAAGTCCCATTTAGAAAAGCTGTTGTCACGTCCATCTGATAGACGGTGAAGTTTTTGTGCGCCGCGTATGCAAGAAAGAGGCGGATTGCTTCAATTCTAGCTACGGGCGCAAACGTTTCATCGTAGTCTATGCCTTCCTGTTGATTATATCCCTTTGCGACCAGCCTTGCCTTGTTCCTTACAACTGTTCCTTCTTCATCTCTTTTATTTTTGAATACCCACTTCGTGCCAATGATTGTCTTTCTCTGAGGCCTGGGTACCAGTGACCACACATCCAGTCTGTCAAACTGATTGAGTTCATCTTTCATAGCAATCACCCAACCTGGATCAAGTAGCGCATCAGAGACTTTTGATGGTTCAGACTGGCTTAGGAAGCATGCGAAGTGGCATTCATTCATCGTTGCGGATCTTGTTCGCACACCTTGACTTGGATCACCTATTATCTGTTCAACAGGATGTGCTCTCGTCCACTTCCTCTCATGAGCTAGAGGAGTTGGAGTAATTATTGGTTGATCGGAGTCCTGATATGAGGTTGAAGGCTCTGGAGCAGCTGTGGTGTGTAATGGAGATGATTCTGGACTCGTAGCAAAGCCGTGATCATCCACACCTCTGGGATTGGTTAGAGGGGTTGAGGGTGTGGATGGTACATCGTCTGGTCCTGTGAGGAGCGGAATCTCTGCTGTTGGAGTTGATGTTGAAGCTGGAGTGCATGCAAGAGGTGGAGGTTGTGAGTTCTCATAGAAGTTTCTGAAGAGAGAGTCGAGAATCACATCTTCATGTTCGGTGTTTGGTTCAGCTTTATCAGAAGCTACTGGTACAACATTGGATGGATCAGTCTGTAGATGTTCGATCGCGAAATCTGCCATTTTATAGAATGTAACATTTACACTCTCGATGACAGTACGCTTGTCTCTGAGGTAGACTCTGTAAGCTTTGGATTGCAGTGAGTAGCCAATAAACACGCCTTCTCTGGCTTTGGGATCCAACTTACTTCTCTCTGTCTGATAATTTAGTATGAAGCACTTGCAGCCAAAAACCTTGAAAAAGGAGATGTCGGGAGTTCTGTTGAAGAGGATTTCATATGGAGTCTTGTCGAAGCGTTTATGGATGGATGTTCTGTTCTGAGTGAAGCACGCAGTATTGATTGCCTCTGCCCACATGAAGTGAGGCAGTCTGGATTGGATTAACATGGTGCGTGCTGCTTCAACAAGGGTTCTGTTCTTTCTCTCAACAACTCCGTTCTGTTGGGGAGTTTTAGCTGCTGCAAATTGCTAAGTGATACCGAGTGATTCATAGAACTCAGTGAGAGTTTGATTTTTGAACTCAGTACCATTGTCAGTTCTAAGAATTCGAACACTGTGCTGTAGCAGTTTCTGGATGGTTCTGATAAAGGTCATAATGTTTTCTGCAGCCTCGTCTTTTGAACGGAGAAATTTTGTCCATGTGTACCTAGAGAAATCATCAACGATCACCAGAGTGTATTTGCGACCGTTGATGCTTTGGACTCTCATAGGTCCACACAGATCCATGTGAATTAGCTGCAACTGATGTGTAGATGATGGTTCGGTTTTTTACTTGTGGGAGCTTCGCGTCATCTTGCCCATTTTGCAGGCACTACAATGATTTTCAGCGGAAGACTTTAGCAGAGGAAGCCCCTTGACAAGTTTCTTGGAGGACAAGGTTGATAGATGTTTAAAGTTCAGATGGGAGAGACGTCTGTGCCATAGGTTGTTCTGTTCAGTTGAAGCTTTGGACAGCAGACAGATGGAAGTGGTGGATTGGACGCTTTTCAGATCAATAGTGTACAAATTTGATGTTCTGTAACACGTTAATAATGTATTACATGTGCTGTCAAGAACACAACATTGTTTTGCAAAGAACCTCACTTCCATGCCGCTGTCACAGAATTGCCCTATGCTCAGAAGGTTGTGTTTGAGCCGTTTGACAAATGAAACGTCTTTTATAGTGACACTGGCACAGACGACGTCCCCATACCCAAGAATAGGAGATGAGGCATCATTCCCGAATCTGACATTGCCTCCGTAGCAGTTGGTGTAGTTGCTCAAAAGGTGCTTTATTCCGGTCATGTGGGTTGAGCATCCTGAGTCTAAGTGCCACACATGACCGTCCTGCAAAACAATCAAACAGGTTTAGGTACCCAACTTGGAGTGGGTCCTTCCTTATTATCAAGAAACACCTTTCTAAATCTTGCTTTGAGCTGTGATCCAAGGTCAGCAGCTCTTTCAACAAAAGTTCTTTCTCTTGTGGGCTCTCCAATAGCCAGATCTGCTTTTGCAGTGGGTCTGGTTTTTGGAGTCCACTTAGCAGTTTCCATTTTGGTGGGTTTGATGTTGTGAACCCACCTTTCCATTTTAGTTCTGGTGGGTCTGAATTTGGGGACCCACCTTTCTGGTTTAGTTTTGATAGGTCTTCGATTGGGGACCCACCTATCTGTTTCAGTTTTGATGGGTCTTCGATTGGGGACCCACCTATCCGTTTCAGGTTTGGTAGGTCTCATCTTGGGGACCCACCTTTTCGTTTCAGTTTTGGTGGGTCTTATCTTGGGGACCCACCTTTCCATTTTAGGTTTGGGAGGAGAGTAGACATGTGCTTTGTGATTGAATGGTTGTTTCTTAAGTCTGGTTTTGAAAATCTCCTCTTTAGAAAGCCAATTAAGATGTTTCCTTGAATGAACTCGAAGAGCATATTTCATATCAGGAATACAAAACGTTCCCTTAGAAGTTCTTTTCTTGGTTTCTCTTTCGGGTTTGAGCTTTCTGTGAGGCTTTGTTTTAACCACATTCACATCACATTCATAATTATGGGGGTCTGGAACAGAATAACCATAAGCAATACTTGTATTATGAATAGAACGATGTCTAGAAGATGTCTTAGAAATATTCAGCTTGGGACTCAAGACTGAACTACTAGAAGTTTGTTTTGTAGGGACAGAATTACAATTAACTTTAGAGTAAAATATAGAACTAGATCTAGGACTGGCATTATTCTCAAAAACTTTCTTTTTGCCTTCTGCGATTTCCTTCCTCTTTTTCCTCCACTCATTCTTCACTTCTCCTTCCTTCTTCACTTCATTTCCTGTAAACAAAGGAGAAGAGAGATGAGTGGACGAACCTTTTAAAGCATTGTTTTTCTCATGTGAGGTGTGTGAGCTGTCAGGCTTAGTCGTAGAAGGGTCTGTTTTAGCATGATACTGCTCACTCAAATCATTGAACTTTTGAAGAAGTTCCTGCCAGTTGCGCTCAAAACCTTTCTTTTCAGTTTCAAATCTCTCTCTCTCTCTCGTTATCAAGAGTTTTCTGTAGGTTTTTGAGCTTTTGAGCCATGGGAAAAATACAAGGTTCCTCACCAGTTTTAGCAATACCTACTCTTGGGGGAGGGTCTAGAGGATGTCCTATATGAGGAATATCTTTAGCATAAGGGTCAAGGCATTCACTAAAGCAGGAAGTAGATTTTTCTTGTGAAAGTTGTTTTTCGTTAACAGAGGGATAATCACAAGAAATCGCAGATTTTGGATTCTTTCTTTTTTCTTCTTCTGCTTCAGCGTTTTCTTCATCACTTCGAAAATACATTTTCTCGCCAAACCCTAGTCCCATGTAATCTTTGTTATAGATTTGAAGACAATTAACTTTCTTTAGATTACGTGGGTTGGTTATGCCCAGTCCTATTCTAGCATTGTAAAATCGGTCATCCTTTTGTTTGTTGTTAAGCAGAAAAACTGTTTGTTCTGATTGGCCTCTCTTAGCAGTTAGATCCTCTAGTTCTTTTACTTTATTTAAAAGTGTTCTTCTCTTGTTATGCAAAAAATCGCATTCAGCCTTTGCTGTGCTTTTTTCTCGTTCACTATCCTCAAATTTCTTAGTTAATTCAGCTATCTTAAGTTCAAAGCTTTCAAAATCCGAGGACACCTTTTTGACCTGATCTTTTGCAATTTCAAGTTGAACACTTAAGGAAGACTTTTGGTCTAGATTCTGTTTCAGTACCCTGTGATTATTGTCTAGTCTCTCCTTTAGTTCTTTGATTAGATTGTCCTTCTCAAGTAAGGACTGCATTTGGTTATTTAAAGGAGTATGAGAGGTACTTAAAGAACTTGTTGAGCATTCGGTTTCGGGGATCGCAGCATCACCCATTCTTTCATCTTCCTCCACTCGTGCCATCAGGGCATAGTTGTCTTCCTCCTCCTCAGAAGAAGAATCTTCTGCCCAGTTCTCATTCTCAGCCATCATTGCAGAAGTTTCTTCTTCTTTCTGCACCATCAGCATTTTCTGCTTATTCCACAGCATCTTCTGCTTGTAGAAATTAGCATCTTTCTTCTTTGGGAGGCGCCAGTCTTTGATGACATGTCCAGCCTTACCACAATTGTAGCATTTGGGAGCGTCTTCTGCTGATGGTGCCTTCCTAGAAGATCCTTGATCATGGTTCTTCTGTTTGTAGTTTGAGGAGGAGGTTCTCAGCTTGTTGGAGGAGCTGTTCTTCTTAGCAAACCTTTTGGCAAGCAGTGCCATCTTCTTCTGTAAGTCTGCTAGCTCAGCCTCTAGATCAGATTTGTCATCATCACTTTCATCATCATCTGATTCAACCACCACCTTCTTCTTTTTCTTCTTTAGTGATGTGGTTGTCCTTCTGGGCTGAGCCTCCATTACAAGAGCTAAGGGATTTGTGGTGTGATGATCCTCGGCACAGGCAACCTCGTTGACAAATTGCTTAAGATGTTCATAGAGAGTGCATAGGTCAATTTCATCCAAATCAATCCGAGATCTGACATCCTTCACTGTCTTTTCCCATGCAGGATGCAGGCTCGATAGAAATCTAATATTCAGTTCCAAGTTGGACCTGAATACTTTGATTTTTCTGAGTTCATTTACCAGTTGAACGAGTCTGTTGTAAGTCTCATTCAATGGTTCTCCTGGGCCTGCTTTGAAGGAGTCATAAGCTATGAGAATTGTAGCCTTCTTTGTCTTAAGGCTAATGCTTGTGCCTTGAAGCAGTTTCTGTATTTCATCCCACATTTCCTTAGCTGTTTGCATGCTATCAATGAGAACGTATACTTCATTTGGGATTGCTTGAAGAAGGTATGTTTTGGCCATGAGATCACCACGAAGTCTGAGTCTGTCAGCTTCCGTGTATTCAGATGCCACTTTCCTCCTTATTTCTGGAAGAATAGGAGGGTTGTTCTCTGGATCACCGCCAACTGAAATCAAGAGTTCAGCTGGTCCTTCAAGCAATGATTCAAGCATCGCAGGGGAGTTCTCTTTGTGCTCAAGGAAATTAAGGAATCTGTTCCTCCACATTTGGTATTCTCCCTTCCTGAGACTAGGAGGGGTACTGCTGTTCCCTTGCGCATTGAATTCTGAGGCCATTGCTGTATTAAATTGACCGTTCGAGATAATTGATCAAAAGATTTTCAGAGGCAGAAAGTCGAAAAATCAGATGTCGAGATCTGAATATCGAAATCTCAGATTTCGATAAAGGAGGCCCGGTATCGAGATTTGAGCTCGAGATTAGAGATCTCGAGATTAAGGATCTCGAGATTTCAAATTTTGAGAAGCTGATCTCGAGATTTGAAATGTCGAGAAGTTAAAACTCGAAATCTTATTTCGAGATGTCAAATGTCGAGACCAGATGTCGAGACCTTGTTTTCGAAATCTTGATCTCGAAATCCTAGATGTCGAAATCCTCAATGTCGAAATCCTGCAAACTGTAAAAATCAGATAATCAAAATCTGAAGGTGGTTTCCTGTAGAGTAGAATGTCGAGATCCTCGGGTAAAGTTTTCAGCTCGAAAAACGTAGCAGAACCTGTGAAAAATCAAGATGTCGACAAGGCCTACTCGAGATATCTCAAGTACAGAGTATGCGTAAAATGAAATCTGAAGTATACCCCTTGATCGCTTTGAAAAGACGATTCTAAGGGTGTACTTTTACAATTTTTGAACAAGAAACAAAATTACAGAGTGAAATATCGACAGTAAGAACAACGTAAAGAAAAACAGAGTCTTCTGCAGGCGTTCTTCTGATCGGCTCTCGATCGGCTCTGATACCAATTGATAGTCCCTGTTTCTGTAACAACAATGAATAACAATCTAAAAAAGAAGATTAAACGTAAGGATGAACACTGATTGAATCGATGTAAACCCTCTTTGATAGACCGTGAACTCGTACAACACAAAAGTATGCGCGTAAGGCTATGAAGAATAAGTACGATGTTAACCTAATCCTAAACCCTTGGCTCCCTTTTTATAGGCGAGGTTTAGGTTAGGCGTACAAGGCTTATAGCCTGGTTATATGGGCCTAACACTTGGCCCAATTTCTATCTAATTCATGCACTAATTTAATACAAGGATTAATAATAAAGCTAATCTATGATAAACTTGATTCATAATTAAAATATCTCCAACATCCTTCGTAGGCACTCCCTATTAGCGTACACCACAACCTCTGTAAGCTCGAAGGCCACCATGTCTACCAGTAGTTCTGCTACCTCGAAATCAACCGGCCGGTATGAATATGGAGAGTGGATTCCGGTCAAACATTGTCAATGTGGACAAGAATTGAAACTTTTGACTACATGGAAACAAGAAAACTGTGGGAGAAGGTTTTGGAAATGCGTTGGAAGTGAGGTATTACGCGTCTGCTGCAGCTTTAAATTTTTCATTAAGTTTTTAGATGATTGATTTTCTTAGTATTTGTATTATGTGATTGCAGTGGTCTGAAGGGTGTGGTTTGATAGACTGGTTTGACCCTCCAATGTGCAAAAGATCCAAGAAAATAATTTTAGGTTTGTTAAAAAAACTGAATGGGTATGAAAACCAAATCTACACATTGGAGATGAAGCTGGAAGCAGCTGAGAAACCAGATAAAAAGGAGAAGATGGAGAAGATAGAGCAAAAAAGATACCCTTGCACCAGACTGTTCATGTGCATTATTGAAGATCATTTAATTGTGAATCAAGTTTGTCACCTATCTTGTAATAGATTAGCTTTATTATATCCTTGTAATCAATATTTGTATTTATTAGGATAAAGGATATGAGGCCAATGTGTCAGGCCCATATCAGGCTGAAAGCCTTTCCGCCAACCCTATACCTGTGCATATAAAAAGGCGCTCCAGGTTTAGGGTTGCGTTAACTTTCGTACTCGTTCCAAATAGCCTTAGCGCAAATTCTTCTCTGTACGAGTTCACGATATATCAAGGAAGGTTATCATCGATCATCTTGTGTTCATCTTTATCGTTAATCTTCTACTTTTTATACTGTTAATCTTTGCTGTAATAGAAAACAGGGACTAACAAATGGTATCAGAGCCGATCGAGAGCTGATCAGAAGAACGTCTGCAGAAAAGCTCTGTTTTTCTTTACGCTTTTGTTTCTCTCGAGTTCTTACTCTCTAATCTTATTTCTTGTCGAAAAGTTGTAAAAGTTATACCTTTAAAATCGTCGTTTTGAAGCGATCAAGGTGTATACTTCAGATTTGTTATTCTGTAAAATTTGTACTCGAGATATCTCGAGATCAAGATCTCAAGATCTCTATTTTGAACAAATTCTGCCTAGTTTTTCGAGCTGAAAACTTCACCTGAGGATCTCGACATCAAACTCTACCAGAAACTACCCTCAGATTTTGCTAACCTGAGTTTTTTACTTTGCAGGATTTTGACATTGAGGATCTCGACATCCAAATCTCAAAGATCGAGATTTCGATTTTTAAGGTCTCGACTTCTGGTCCTCGACTTTTGATATCTGGAAAACATATCTCGAGTTTTAAATCTCGATTTTTCAAATCTCGACATTTGTTTCTCGACATTCGAAATATCGAGATTTCAAAACTCGACATTTGATATCTCGATATCAAATCTACGCAGCGTGAAACACCCGGGGGGTGCAGGGGTAGCTGTTTCACTTGAACTCCAACTCTAACACAGCCTAAAACCCTCATCTTTCCCTATAAATTGCAAGCCAAACCTGCGATTTTATTCATTCAAACCGGCGATCAATACATACATATATACGTATATATATATATGCACCTTCGTACTACCTGGTCAGCACAAATCCTGAACAAATAAGGATCATCCCAGAAATAATACTTAGCATCAGACAGAAACTTTTTTAACATGTGTCGAGATAGCCTGGTAGGCTCAACATCGCCTACTAAGTAGTTGGCTTTGTCTGCATACCAGGGTACCTCAGATCCAATCTCAACCTGCAAAAGACGTTTATCAGGAAAAAGTTCTTCAATAACATCATTACCGAAAGAGTCTACCAAGTCAGCATCTAATCGTGATAAGTGATCAGCTGCTTGATTGGCGGAACCCCTCCGGTCCCTAATCTCTATGTTAAATTCCTGCAACAACAAAATCCAACGGAGAAGTCTAGCTTTAGAGTCGTGCTTCTGAAATAAATATCTCAACGCTGAATGATCGGTGTAGATAATTACTTCAGATAAAATAATATACGACCTAAACTTCTCCAAAGCATACACAATAGTTAGAAGCTCTTTCTCTGTAGTGGTATATTTCAATTGGGGTCCCGCTAAGGTTTTGCTAGCGTAATAGATGGGGCGGAAGTGATTATCTTTCCGTTGGCCAAGAATGGCCCCAACCACCTGATCGCTAGCATCGCACATTAGCTCAAAAGGGGTTTCCCAATCTGGAGCAACTAAAACTGGAGCTTCCATCAACTTAAGTTTCAAACACTTCAAAGCAAGCAAACATTCATCATCAAACAAAAAATCAGCATCTTTCTCAAGCAAACGGGTGAGAGGTTTGGCTATTTTTGAGAAATCCCGAATAAAGTGACGGTAGAAGCCGGCGTGCCCAAGAAAGCTACGGACAGCCTTTACGGTCGTTGGAGGCGGGAGTTTCTCAATGGCCTCGATTTTCGGCTTGTCAACCTCAATACCCTTAGATGACACCTTATGACCTAGCACAATACCCTCCTTGACCATGAAGTGACACTTTTCCCAACTCAAGGCCAAGTGGGTCTCCTCACAACACTTTATGACCTAACACAACACTTTCTCTAAATTATGACCTAGCACAACACTTTCTCTAAATTATGGAGGCATTCATCAAATGACTTCCCAAAAATAGAGAAGTCATCCATAAAAACCTCCATAAAATCACCAATAAACTTCTCAAAGATAGCAATCATGCAACGCATAAATGTGGCAGGGGCATTGCATAGACCAAAAGTCATCCTACAAAATGCAAATGTCCCAAATGGGCAAGTAAAAGTGGTCTTTTCCTGGTCAACGGGATCAACGTGTATTTGAAAGTACCCGCTCATCCCGTCAAGGAAACAATAATAAGCATGCCCTGCCAAACTCTCAATCAACTGATCAAATAAAGGTAAGGGAAAATGATCCTTCCGAGTGGCTTCATTTAGTTTACGGTAATCAACGACCATCCGCCACCCAGTCACCGTCCTACTAGGTAGGAATTCCCCCTTCTCATTCTGAATCACCGTCATACCCCCTTCTTGGGGACCACGTGAGTAGGGCTAACCCATTGGCTATCTGAAATTGGGTAAATTATACCCACATCCAAAAGCCTCAGGACTTCTGCCTTTACCACTTCCATCATCTTGGGGTTTAAACGTTGTTGCGGTTGCACGACTGGTTTATACCCCTCCTCACACTTGATTTTGTGGGTACAAAAGGTTGGGCTAATCCCACGAAGATCCTCAAGCTTACGCGCAATGACTTCCTGGTGACACTTAAGGACATCCATCAATTTTTCCTTCTGTCGCGACTCTAACTGGGCAGAAATAATGACAGGGTGTTGGCCCTGTTGGTCCCGGTTATACTGGATACAGTCTAGAGGGGGGGGTGAATAGACTGTATTGGTTTTTAGCTTTTTAAACTAAGTACCAGATTTAAAGAATAACCTGTTCTGTTGAAAGAACAGACTGGCAGCGGATGGGGTTCTGGTAGGGAGTTCTGTTAGCCTCAGAGAAGCAAAGGCAGTAGGCCTTCTGTTAACTCGTAGAACAAGTTCTGCTGAACACAGATACCAAGTCCAAGGAGTTATACAGTTCTAACTAAATGCAATTATTAAAAGCAGTAAGTAAACGACACCAGGGATTTTTATAGTGGTTCAAGGAACAACTCGTTCCTCTAATCCACTGTTCCACTAAGCTGTAAAAACTGCCGTTTACAAAGCCTTAGTCCTACTACTTAAGAAGCACTCCACGTCTTCTTCAAGCCTAGATGTGTCCTGGGATGCACTGCCTGGCTTCCTTTAACACTGGTCCTTTCACTGAGTTTCCTTGAAGTATCACCACTTCACTACTCCAGTTACTTAGACGTCCTTCTTGTAGCAAGAAGAGTTTCTGTTGAAACTGGGGTTCCTCCAACTAGCTTCGTTACAAAAGATTTGTATGTGATGAGCTTGAAGAGTTGAAGAACACTTGGAACTTTGCTTGAGTTGGAAAGAGTATTTTTCCAACTTCTGCCTTCTCTTGTAGAAGATATTGAGTTTGAATCTCAAGGAGGCTTTTTGCTTTTCAGAGTTTGAATATCTTGCTTGTGGTTAGCCAAGTTGTAGCAAAGTTATGTAGGCAAAGTTTTCTCCAAGTCTTTTTTTGTTGTTCTTCGTAGTGTATCTTTTATACTGAGGTTGTCTTCCCGTTGGAGGAGTAGGAGGACAACTGCATTTAATGCGCGAGCAGTTGACTTGACCAGTAGGACCCGGTAAAGTTGGCGGGTTACTATTTTGGGATAAAGTAATCCTGACATTGCGGCCAATCATCTGCAATTACTCCACGGAGCATGGGGAGCATTAAATGAGCATTTAATGCGAGCACTGTAGCTTTTCCGTTTCATAGTCCTAGCCGTTGAAGGAATCTTTAAGTTGACTTCCCGGCTTTGTGGATTTCTTCCAAGTGTCAGACCTTCTGGTGTCATTGGCAGAGAACTGATTCAGAGAAGATCATGAGCACTTCTGTTGTTGGTAGCTTACAGAGAACCAGGAGGGTTTCTGTCACGCTAAAGGGTAACAGAGACCCTGACGTTTTCTGTTCCTAGACAGAGAACCAAGATCTTCTGTCTGGAGGACTTCTGGTAGAGAGGCCTTCTGGTAGTCGAATATGCTAAGAACTTTACAAGGGAAAATTCTAATACATAATTTCTAAAGGGGTACTCTACAGTCCTAATTAATATAGCATCATCAAAATCTAAATACAATTATTCCTTACAATTTCCCCCTTTTTGATGATGCCAAAACCCTTTAACTATTTCCAGAGAAGTTCCTTCACCATAAAAATTTAAAGTTTAAAACTTTTCATTAAAATCTTGGTGGGCAACTTGGCATAGGAAAATAGTAAGAGTACGATACATTCAGATAGCAGTTCAAGAGGAAACAAGTACAGAATGAAATAGTAAGCAACAAAGAATAAAGAAGCAAAGAGACTTTAGAAGGAGCAGAGATAAGCTTTTATTAGATCAAGAGTATTAAGAGAAGTTTAAAAGGAATTACAGATTTTCCCTTTCAGCTTCAGCTCTGGTTCTGCGATCTTGTTCCTTCAGATTCTTCAGTTCAGCATTCACTTCTTCTCTTATGCCAGCCAGATTTCCTGGTGCTTGACATGAAGCCCAAATGGGAGAGAGCTTGCAATTCAGATAGTGAAGTACTCCTTCATGTTCATCCTTGCCTGGGAGTACTCTCTTGTGGAACCAATATTCAGCCTCTTCCAAGGAACCACCATGTCTGACCCTTATATGACCATCTCTGTCAAGATAGAGATTCTGTCTTTGAGTTGGGGTCATCTTCTGTTGAATTTCTTCGAACTGTGCTCTATCAATCTTCTGGGAGCCTCCAAGTCTCCACTCAGTGAGGCTCAAAGGTTTCTTCTTCTTGGTAGAACCTCTGCGAGGAGAAGAAGGTCTTGAAGTACCAGCTTCTCTCTTCTTCTGATGGGAGGCCTGGAAGTAAGGGGTTGGATCAATATCAGATGAGGGCTCAGCAGTTGGCCTAGGGAGCAATTTCTTCTGTTGGGGGTCCTTTTCCTTTTCCCCCTTTTTGGCATCATCCAGGTCAGAGATCATCATGGCAATTTTCTGGAACTCTGTTGCCTGGGAGATGGCTATCTGCTCAAGAGTTTCTGGCAAGGTCTGCGTGACAGAGGTCAGACCTTCTATTAAGTTCTGTTGACGATCAAGAGCAGACTTGATGTCCTGAGAGCCAGCTTCAAGTAGTATCAGCTTCTGATATCTTTCTTGATCCTTCTTGATCAGGGTGGCCACTTGATCTTTGTGATCATTATTCAAGAGTTGTAGCTGCATAAACTTCTCAGCAGATTGGTCTTCATACCATTGTACAATGTCAAGGGATTCTGTTATATCCTTGAGTTGCTTATTCTGCTTATTGAGAATCTGAGACTGGGAGTAGAGAACAGAGTGGACACCGTCCACTTCTCTGGCAACAGCATTAAGCTTTGCAGATGATGATTCCATGAAGGTGACCAGTGTCTGGGTCATAGCTTCAACCTTCTCTGAGATATGCTGAAGTCCAGCCTCAAGATGATTGTGAACAAAGGTGAGATGTTCATGGTGCTTGGTGTTGATCTAAGCCAATTGATCCATTCCATCAAGCATTTTACCACCAAAGTCTTCAGCTGCAGTGACAAACTGATTGAAGGAGATTTGGGGCTTATCTTCTTTGGATTCTGTGTTCCCAGGCATACCTAGACCTCTTGATTTAGGCATAGGAGGCCTTCTGGGTAGTTCTTCATTCTGAGGAGGGGTCTTCCTCCTTTTGGAAGTTTCATCAGCAGCAATGGAGGATGTAAGAAATCCATCATTGTCACTGGAAGAGGAGGGCACCCTGAAGATAGGTTTCTTGATGGGGGTAGAAGCCACAGAGTGTTGAGGGGAGATAGGTGTGGCTGCATCTTGTGGTGCAGGCTTTGGAGAAGCAGTTCTGGATTCCTTGATGGAGGGGTTTTCTTGTTGATGTGAGGGAGCATTCTGTTGTTGTGGAGGAGAGGGTGGAGGTGATGGTGATCTGGATCTGATTGAGGGTTGGGATTTGCAGGGAGATGGATTTTTGGTATTGGGTGAGGAGGTTTTCTGTTGGGGTGAAGTTGTAGAGGAGATGACCTGTTGGTGTTGGTATGGGATAATTTGTCCTGGAGGGGATGGTGATTTGTTCTTTGGAGGAGAGAACGGTTTGCAGGGTGAAGGAGATGAAGATTTGGGGGTGGAGGGTTTCTGGTGTGAAGGGGTTTTCTGTGCAGAGATGGTTTTCTGTGGGGGTGAGGAGGATTTCTGTTGGGGTTGAGGAGAGGTGTTTTTAGGAGAGGGAGGGGGAGAAGGAATGATTGGGGGAATTACCTCTAGTATTGTTTTTGTGAACAGAGAGTCTCTCCATTCCTTGACAAGTCTTTCCATGACCAGAGGTAGATCATTGGCAGTAGAGGGTTCACCTTCTCCATGTGCACTGTGGCGAAATTTGATCATTGACTCCTTCCTCTTTTTCTCAACTAGCCAAGCATCAAAGTCATGCATCTCATGCTCTTGAAGAGCCTTCACATGGTCTTCTGGTGAGTTTCTGACCAGAGGTGCTTTCCCTTGAATTTTCTCCTTCTTCTTCTTCTGTAGGACAGAAAGAAGAAAATCCTTGTTTAGGCAGGACTCCACATCTTCTGTGTCAGCCCATCTGAGTACTTCTTCTTCTTCAGAGATGAAGTAGGACAAGTTCTTGAGGAGTTCAGTGAGAGGTCCCACTCTCCACTTTCTCCATGCCAGAACCCTGATGAATTTTCTATCAGGGCTTGAAGTGTTGCTTACTTCTTGGTGTCTGGTGAAGGAACCACCATAGGTTGATCATTTGCAGAGGTAGGAGGAGAAGAATGTGGTCCCCCCTGAGTAGTGGCATTCTGCACCACTTCTTCTTCTTCTGAGTCACTTGACTCAAAGATGATCCTCTTGCCGTGCCAAGCATTTCTGTTGGCTGGGGCAGAGGTGACAGAGTCCTCCAGCTTCTCCTGTGCTGCAGGTGTCAAAATTTTGGTCTTCTTTGCAATGGGGGAGGCAGAAGGGGTGCTTTCTGAAGAGATAGGTGAAGGAGCCTTTCTCTTAAGGACAAATTTCTTTGCCACCATCTTGTGGACTTTGACAGGTGTGGTCTTTTTCTTGGGAACCTTCTTGACCACCTTCTTCACCAAAGGTATTTCTTCTTCAGAGTCAGAAGGGGTAGGAGGTTTCTGTTGCTTCTTTGAAGCTTTCTTTGGTTGAACAACCTTCTGTTGTTGCCTTTCTCTGTTGAACTCAAGGGTTCTGAGTCTTTTCTGCTCTGCCTTGAGAGCAACTTTCCTGTCACTTGAAGTGTTGAGGAAGAGCAGCTTGGTGTAGTCTGCCTCAATAGAGTTTCTCAGTCCTATCCTTGCCTTGAGCAAGGTTTCAGAGATTAGGAGACCATAACCCATGGGGGTCCTGAACAGACCGGTCTCCTTGTCTTTCTTCTTGATGAATTCAACAAGGGATTTGACAATTACCTGTCCTCAGTTGATGTTCATCCCATGATGAACTGCAAAGACAGCCTTTGCATTCAGTGCATTCATGTCATCTGTGGAGGTGCTCTTGCTCCAGACACACCTATGCAGGATGTTGACCAATTTCTCATAGTCGCTCAGAAGGAGGTTTTTCTTCATGTAAAGCTTTGGAACTCTACCCACTTCAGGTCGGCAGTAGAGTTGGACAAAGTTGTCCACAGTGACGTTGACACTGTCCAGAGTTAGGAAACCTTCAGTTTCTTCTTCTTGAGGGTCCTCTACTACGCCAAAGAGGGCGTTGAGGTCTGCAGGGGTGAGGGTAATGTCTTCACCATTGACATTAGACCGGATGGTCTCCCCTTCGTATGTAGCGTTGAGATAGAACTCTGCTACGTCCCTTGTACTGTAGGATTCAAAGTGATAATCTACCACTTTGTTCAGTTGGGAGTCCTCCATTCCCTTGATGATCTTCATCATCGTTTCGTGGTTTGAAGCGAGTTCAGGGAGTGCGGAGAGGTCGCAGTTCATCCCTGTGTAGATGTTTGAAACAAGAGTGTTGATTTCCTCCTTGGTGAGGTCGTTGATGTTGATGAAGGCCATTTGATCAGAGAGTAATCAGAGAGCTTGAGAGCTATGGAGGTTTGAAAGTTTGAAAGTAATGAGAGCAGTAGCGGTTTAGGTTTGCGAAAGGGGAATTTATGTGTTTGGGTTAGTGGACGTTTGGAATTAATTTATGGTTCCAAGAAACCAATAAATGTAAAAAGGGGCGGAGTAAATAAACGGGGGCGCAGTAAATATTATACGGCTTGATACCGTTTTAAGGGTAAAAGGGTAAAAGACCTTTAATAATTTACTAGGATACCCGGTTTCAGAAAATTTTCCAAGTCCACAACCTTCTGAGGGTTTTTCTGTAGAAGGGGGGTTTTCTGTTGCTGAGGTGTTCTGCCAGGGTAGGGATCAGAAGGGGTTGACAGAAGGGGTTTTGCTACAGGTATTCTGTCAACAGCAAAAGAGCAACAGAGGGCCTTTCTTTTCAACTTTCCCTTGGAATCTCATCCATCATTCCCAATTCCTCTCTCAGTTTGTTGAACCTAGCCTCAGGGAGAGGCTTTGTCAGGATATCTGCAAGCTGATCTTCTGTTGGCACATGTTCCATGCAGATGTGCTTCTTCTCAACATGATCTCTGATGAAGTGATGTCTGATCTCAATATGCTTTGTCCTGGAATGAAGAACTGGATTCTGAGTGATAGCAATAGCACTGGTGTTGTCACACAACAGCTTGATCTCCTGTGCTTGAACTCCATAGTCCTTCAGTTGTTGCTTCATCCAGAGTAGCTGAGCACAGCCACTCCCAGCTGCAATGTACTCTGCCTCAGCTGTACTTGTTGAGATAGAATTCTGCTTCTTGCTAAACCAGGAAACAAGCCTTCCTCCTAGCAGTTGGCAGTGACCAGAGGTGCTCTTTCTGTCTAGTCTGCAACCTGCAAAATCTGAGTCAGAATAACCAATTAATTCAAAGTTACCTCCCTTTGGATACCATAGGCCTGCATTTGGATTTCCTTTGATGTATCTGATGATTCTCTTTGCAGCACTTAGATGGCTTTCCTTGGGCTTTGATTGGTATCTGTCACAGATTCCAACAGAGAATGAGATGTCTGGTCTGCTTGCAGTTAGATACAACAGAGATCCTATGATTCCTCTATATGTTGTTGCATCTACATCCTTTCCTTCATCATCTGGACCAATTCCTTGTGAAGTGTTCATGAGAATCTTCACTGATGATTTGTCTTCCACTCCAAACTTCTTGATTAGATCTCTGGTGTACTTCCCTTGATTGATAAAGATCCCTTCTGGAACTTGTTTGACTTGAAGTCCTAGGAAGTAACTGAGTTCTCCCATCATACTCATTTCAAATTGACTCTGCATCACTTGAGAAAATTTCTCGCACAGTTCTGGATTAGTACTACCAAATATAATGTCATCAACATATATTTGTACTAACAGAATATGATTAGCAACATAGATTTGAAATAGAGTTTTGTCAACCTTTCCTTTAGTAAACCCATGGTTCACTAGAAAAAGGGACAATGTGTCATACCAGGCTCTGGGAGCTTGCTTAAGACCATAGAGGGTCTTTTTAAGCTTGTAGACACAGGAAGATTGAGTAGGAATGACAAAACCTGGTGGTTGTTCCACATAAACTTCTTCTTCAAGATCTCCATTCAGAAATGCACTCTTGACATCCATCTGGTAGACCTTGATGTTGTTGTAGGCAGCATAGGCTAGAAAGATTTTGATGGCTTCAAGTCTGGCAACTGGTGCAAAGGTCTCATCAAAATCTATTCCTTCTTCTTGACAATATCCTTTAGCTACTAGCCTTGCTTTGTTCCTTACAATGTTGCCATCTTCATCTGCTTTGTTCTTGAATACCCATTTGGTTCCAATGACATTCTGGTGCTTTGGCCTAGGAACAAGTTCCCATACTTTGTTCCTTTCAAACTGGGTGAGCTCTTCTTGCATAGCATTGATCCAATCTGAGTCTGCAAGAGCTTCTTCAACTGTCATAGGTTCCATCTGCGATATATAGCAGGCAAGCATTGCTTCTCTCCTTGATGTGGATCTGGTTTGAACTCCACTTCTGATTTGACCAATCACTTGGTTAGGAGGATGATCTCTTAACCATGTTAGGTCTGGTTCTGTCAGTTGCTGTCTTGGTCTCTCTGGTTCCTCATCTTCAGAGTCTTCATCTTCATTCAACAGAAGGGGGTTTGGTGCGGGTGTATGAAATGCAGGGTTGTCTGCCACCTCTTCTGTTGGTTCTGGTGTTCTGTCTTCTATGCTGACTTCCTTGAAAATCTCTGTTACCTCTTTAACAGAGATACTTTCATCAAACTTCACATGTATGGATTCTTCAACATGTAGGGTCCTTCTGTTGAGTACTCTATAGGCTTTACTGGTGTTTGAATAGCCTATAAAGACTCCTTCATCAGCCTTTTCTTGAAATACTTTCAGATGCTCCTTTCCATTGTTGAGAATGTAGCACTTGCATCCAAATACATGAAAGTAGCTGATGTTAGGTTTTCTTCCCTTCCAGAGTTCATAAGGGGTCTTCTGGTGATTCTTGTTGATCATGCTTCTGTTCTGAGTATAGCATGCAATGTTGATTGCTTCAGCCCAATATCTCATAGGCAATCCAGATTCTGCAATCATTGTTCTTGCAGCTTCTTTTAAAGTTCTGTTCCTTCTTTCTGCTACGCCATTCTGTTGAGGGGTTCTGGCGGCAAAAAGTTGATGAAAAGTTCCATTCTGATCACAGAAGTCCTTTATGACTTGGTTGACAAATTTAGTTCCTCTGTCTGATCTGATTGTCTTCACTTTCAAGTTCTTCTCAGTCTGAAGTTGCTTTAACAGAGATGGCAACTTCTGAAGAGTTTCATTTTTCTTTGATAGAAAAACAGTCCATGTGTATCTGGAGTAGTCATCAACCATGACTAGGGTGTATTTCTTGCCACCAACGCTTGGAGTCTCAACAGGTCCAAATAAATCCATGTGAATCAGATTTAGAGGACTTGTAGAAAGATCTCCAGCAATGGGTTTGAAGGAATTCTTCACTTGTTTGCCTTTCTGACATGCACTGCAGAGGGTCTCCTTCTTGTACACAATGTCTGGTAGCCCTTCTACAATGTGTTCTCTGGCTAGTTTGTTGATTGTTTTGAAATTCAAATGGTTGAGCTTTTTGTGCCAGTCCCAGCTCAGTTTTGAATCTCCCTTGGCTATCAGGCAAACTCCATCTTTTGCAGTGTTCCAATCAACTACATAGATGTTCTTCTTCCTTGATGCTGTAAGAACCACTTCCTTTGTTGTCTCATGCTTCACATAGCAGAAGTCCTTTGTGAATTCAACAGTGTAGCCTTTGTCACAGAATTGGCTAGCACTTAGCAAGTTGAACTTCAGTCCTTTGACATATGAGACATCATCAATGATTATCTAGTTCTTGATCAGCTTTCCTCTTCCTTTTGTTTGACCTTCTTTGTCATTACCTCCAAAGGTAACTCTAGGTCCTTTGCATTTCTGGAACTCTGTTAGGCAACTTCTGTCACCTGTCATGTGCCTGGAGCATCCACTATCAATAAACCATTCTTGTTCAGAGATGGCTCCAGCACACAGTTCCTGCAAGATCAAAAGAAAGATTTAGGTACCCAAGCAATGCTGGGTCTTGGGGGGTCATGGAGTCTGGGAAGTTGGTAACATTTTGGTCTCATCAAGTGAAACCTTGGTGGGTGGTACCCATTGTCCACCTGGTAGTTATAGTAAACTGAAGTGTGATTCACTTTGGGCAGATGCTTGTGAGGGTCATGCTTCCTGTTTACATACTTTTGCATAGCTTTTTTAGTTGGAAAGAAGTCCCATATACTATCAAGAGCAGAGGGACGGTTAACCTTGGGCTTCTGAAGTTGACCAGCTAACCTCTTCTGCCTGAAGTTAACTCTCTCTTGATATTTGCCCTTCTGGTGATCATTTCTGGCACGATTGACATGAGGTTGTCTGTCAATGAATGGTCTTTTATTTTTATTATTTTGAAAACCTCTTCTGTTGTTAGGTTTTCTGCCAGGTTCATTATTTTTCAAAAAGGGTTTCTGTTGAACCTTTATCTTGCCTTTTTCTGGTCTGACTTCCTCATGAACAACCTTGGTGCCAGATACACCAGCTTGACAGATGGGGCTAGAAATCAGTGGCCCTATGACCTTATCTGCCTTAGCAACTATGGTGCTAGGCATTACAGAAGGCTCACCTGATTCTGTTGAGCCATAACCAAGACCAAAACCAGTGCCAATCTGTTGATCAAGCACAATCTTTTCCATGGAAGACTGGGCCTTCTGGTAAGCTTTGTACTTAATCTTGAGAGGCTCTATTTTTCTTATTCTCTTAAGAACAGAAACATTTTCAGTCTCCAGTTGATCTCTTTCCTCAATTAGAAGATTGATTTTGATCTCAACCTCCTTCTTTAAGTCAAGAATTTCAGCTTTCAACTTACTGTTTTCTTCTGTTACAGAAGAATAAGTGGCTTGTATGGCCTTAAACTCTTCCCAAAATTCTGACATTGAATCAGAATCAAAAGCTAAGCCTACCGAAGAAAAACTAGATTCAGAAGTAGAGGTTACCTCATCATCAGAATGAGCCATGAGGCAAAGGTCTTCTGTCTCAGTATCAAGGCAACAGAAGGCCTCATCAGAATCTGAGTCAGAACTGGATTCTGTTTCTGACAGAGGGTCTTTCTCCATCTGTTCTGTCACAAGTGCCTTTCTTCTTCTAGAGTTGTCCTCGTACTTCTTCTTTTCTCCATTCTGTCATTGCTTCTTGGACACTCTAGGATGGGGACAATCAGCCTTGAAGTGACCAGGTTGTCTGCAGTTGTAACAGAGAAGCTCTCCACTGCTTTCTGTTGATTTGACCTTCTGGTATGGCTTTCTGTTGAAAGATGGACTCCTTCCATCTTTGGGATTCTTCATAAACTTTTTGAATCTCCTGGCAAAGGCAGTCATATATTCATCAGATAAAAGTACTGAAGGGTCAAAATCATTTACCTTAGATTAGCTGGCAGTGAGGGCTGTAGTGGTCCTCTCTTCTGGTACATCTTCCTTCTCTTCAATCATTTCAAACTCATGAGCTTTGAGATCTGAAATGAGCTTATCAGTGGGATAAGTCTTTACATCCTTGCTGGCTTGGACAGCAACTACCTTCATCTTCCATGCTGAGGGCAGTCCCCTCAACACCTTCAGGTTGATCTCCTTGGTTGTGAGATCCTTGCCAAGCTCAGAGATCTCTCCAGTGAGAGTGAGGAGCCTGTCATACATCTTGGAGATGCTTTCACCAGGGAGAAGTTTGAAGTCATCAAACTTCTTGTTGGCTATGGTTAGTTTGTTGTCCTTCTCTTGCTCATCACCAGCTCCAATGAGCTCAAGAGTATCCCAGATTTCCTTAGCAGTCTTGCACTTCTTGATTCTGTTGAAGTACCTATCATCAATGGACTTGTAGAGGATGTCCTTGGCAATATTGTCTAGGTTGTACTTTCTCCTCTCTTCAGTGGTCCATTCTGACTTGGCTTTACTGATCATCTGGGGTCTGGTGTTGTCTATGGCATGTTCAGGATTGACCTTCTGGAAGCTTGTGAAGGGGCCAATGTCTAGAACTTCCCACATCTCATCATGCAGGGCACAGAGATGTGCTTTCATCCGGATCCTCCAGTCATCAAACTTAAGATCTGAAAACAAAAGATTCTTGGACAAGGAGTGATCCATTATATCAGATAGAAATGAGGTAAAACAGAAAAACAAGTGGATCTTTGTTCAACAAATAACCTAAGTGATTATTAGAACAAGGAGGCTCTGATACCACTTGTTGGTCCCGGTTATACTGGATACAGTCTAGAGGGGGGGTGAATAGACTGTATTGGTTTTTAGCTTTTTAAACTAAGTACCAGATTTACAGAATAGCCTGTTCTGTTGAAAGAACAGACTGGCAGCGGATGGGGTTCTGGTAGGGAGTTCTGTTAGCCTCAGAGAAGCAAAGGCAGTAGGCCTTCTGTTAACTCGTAGAACAAGTTCTGCTGAACGCAGATACCAAGTCCAAGGAGTTATACAGTTCTAACTAAATGCAATTATTAAAAGCAGTAAGTAAACGACACCAGGGATTTTTATAGTGGTTCAAGGAACAACTCGTTCCTCTAATCCACTGTTCCACTAAGCTGTAAAAACTGCCGTTTACAAAGCCTTAGTCCTAGTACTTATGAAGCACTCCACGTCTTCTTCAAGCCTAGATGTGTCCTGGGATGCACTGCCTGGCTTCCTTTAACACTGGTCCTTTCACTGAGTTTCCTTGAAGTATCACCACTTCACTACTCCAGTTACTTAGACGTCCTTCTTGTAGCAAGAAGAGTTTCTGTTGAAACTGGGGTTCCTCCAACTAGCTTCGTTACAAAAAAAATTGTATGTGATGAGCTTGAAGAGTTGAAGAACACTTGGAACTTTGCTTGAGTTGGAAAGAGTATTTTTCCAACTTCTGCCTTCTCTTGTAGAAGATATTGAGTTTGAATCTCAAGGAGGCTTTTTGCTTTTCAGAGTTTGAATATCTTGCTTGTGGTTAGCCAAGTTGTAGCAAAGTTATGTAGGCAAAGTTTTCTCCAAGTCTTTTTTTTGTTGTTCTTCGTAGTGTATCTTTTATACTGAGGTTGTCTTCCCGTTGGAGGAGTAGGAGGACAATTGCATTTAATGCGTGAGCAGTTGACTTGACCAGTAGGACCCGGTAAAGTTGGCGGGTTACTATTTTGGGATAAAGTAATCCTGACATTGCGGCCAATCATCTGCAATTACTCCACGGAGCATGGGGAGCATTAAATGAGCATTTAATGCGAGCACTGTAGCTTTTCCGTTTCATAGTTCTAGCCGTTGAAGGAATCTTTAAGTTGACTTCCCGGCTTTGTGGATTTCTTCCAAGTGTCAGACCTTCTGGTGTCATTGGCAGAGAACTGATTCAGAGAAGATCATGAGCACTTCTGTTGTTGGTAGCTTACAGAGAACCAGGAGGGTTTCTGTCACGCTAAAGGGTAACAGAGACCCTGACGTTTTCTGTTCCTAGACAGAGAACCAAGATCTTCTGTCTGGAGGACTTCTGGTAGAGAGGCCTTCTGGTAGTCGAATATGCTAAGAACTTTACAAGGGAAAATTCTAATACATAATTTCTAAAGGGGTACTCTACAGTCCTAATTAATATAGCATCATCAAAATCTAAATACAATTATTCCTTACAGGCCCTATGTGTCTAAAAATGCATACTCCAGGTGACTAGGGAGCAGTTTGAGTTCAGGAGTAACCTTATCGGTGGGATGCTCCTCAAACTCAGTAAGCAACGTAGGGAAATCATCATCCCTAATCACCTGCTCGCAATCAACAGTCATTTCTTCTTCATTTTCAGTCACCATATCCCCCACATAATGAATGTCACTAACAAGTGGGGTAATATCACTATCGCCTCCAAATAAACACCCCTCCACTGACTCAAACATATCAAGATAATGGCATGATTCAGCGGGGTCTGAGACCTTACTCATCACCTCTGAGAGTTTAAAAGTGCACACATCGTCCCCAACTCTCAGAGAAAGTGAACCAACAGCAACATCGACAAGGGCCCTAGCAGTAGCCAGAAAGGGCCTCCCTAAAATAGGTGGAGTCTCACGATCTTCCTCCATGTCCATGACCACAAAATCAACAGGGAATATGAACTTGTCCACCCGTACTAATACATCCTCTAGAATTCCTTTCGGATATTTCACCAATCGGTCCGCTAGCTGAAGGCTCATACGAGTGGGATTTAGTTCACCCAAGCCAAGTTTCATGACCACAGAGGAAGGCATCAGGTTAATGCTAGCTCCTAAATCAGTTAAAGCATTATTAAACATAAAATTTTCAATAGAACAAGGTACAGTAAAACTCCCTGGGTCTTTTAGCTTCGGAGGCATAGTCTTCAGAACAACTGCTGAACATTCCGCATTAAGATCCACCACTTCCAGCTCTTCCCACCTCCTCTTTTTCGTGAGGAGATCCTTCAGAAATTTTGCGTACCTCGGCATCTCCGTCAAAGCTTCTATGAATGGGACATTAATATGAAGCTGCTTCAGATGCTCCATAAATCTAATCAGGTTCGTGTTATCATTGCTTCTCTTCACCCGTGTAGGGAACGGGAGAGGTGGAGTCATCTTACTCTTCTCTTTCTTCAGAGAATCTTCTTTCTGAGCTTCATTACTCCTGGAAGGAATAGGGACAGCCACTGGTTCTTCTTCAACCTCCTGGGATTTCGGGTCTTGATGCCGTTAGTCATCATTTTGTTGAGCCAATGGTGGAGTATTAACTTTTGCAAGGGTCTTCCCGCTGCGTAGTGTAACGGCATGCACTTGCTCCCTTGGATTGGGTTCTGTTGAACTCGGAAGGCTGCCTGGTTCTCTAGGAGCAACTGAACCAAGCTGGCGGATAAGAGCTTCTAGGTTTCTGAAACGCCGATGCATCTCCGCTTGATTTTTGGCTAATTCAGCCACTGTTTTCTCTAGCGCTGCATTTATCGGAGGTGGTTCAAGCTGTCTTTGGTGAGGCGGGACATAAGTGGGCTGATTTGGATTGCCTCTATTCTGAAAATTTGCTTGGTAATTGGGAGCATTCCGCTGCCCTTGATTCTGATTTTCAGGTCTCCACGAGCCTCCTCCTTGCTGAAAGTTTCCTCTCTGAACGTGATTGTTGAAAAACTGCCCACCAGCTCTCTGGCCTTGACCGTATTCCATGAAATTCACATCACGGACCACTGGAGCTGCGTGATTCTGAACATAAAGAGGGCAGGTGTGAGTGAGGTGAGCTCCCATGCACATTTCGCAAGATAAAGCTAGTTCTTGGCCAGTTGGACTTGGATAACTTGCTCGAACGGGAAGTGGGGCAGAATACATAGGATAAGAGGGCTGATATGCCCCAATATTGTGAACATGTTGCTGCTGAGAGGTCTGTGCCTTCAAATCTTTGACATCCACTGCCAGTCCCTCGAACTTCGCTGTGAGTGCAGTGATGGGATCTAAATTGAGCAGACCAGGTGGATTTTGAGCTCTCTCCTTGCCCGCGTACCAATATTTATCATTTGAACCCAAATTCTCTATTATCTGCTCTTCTGCCTCTCGGGACAATTTTAGAAACATACCCCCCCGAGATGCCCGGTCTAGTTCTCTCATATACTCCAGCCGGAGACCATTATAAAATCTGCACATAATGGTTGCTGAATTCATGAATGTTTCTGGACACTTCCTTCTCAGCGTCTTAAGCCTATCCCATGCTTCACTGAAAGTCTCGGTCGGAGCTTGAGAGAAGTTGAGAATTTCTGTCTGAACTTTGATAGCGGCAGAGGGAGGAAATTACTCCTGCATAAATGCCTGATGAAGCTTCTCCCATGTATCAAAATGCCCGTTTGGAAAGCTACGGAGCCACCGCGATGCCTTGTCTCTCAACGAGAATGGAAATAAGGTCAACCTCACTGCCTCGCAGGATACCCCATTGTATTTGAATGTGGCACATGTCTGAATAAAGCTCTCAATATGCTCCATTGGATCTATATGGGTGTATCCGCAGAATGGATTATTAGCAAGCATCTGCATCATGGCCGGCTTGATTTCAAAATTGTTGGCCTCAATGGTGGATGCACCAATGCTATTTCTCGCCACATAGTTAGGCGTCAACTTCTCCAGAGTTGTCTCATCGGCCATTTTGTTCAAGTCTTCTAGCAACCGCCTTTTAGCTCTTCCTCGGAATAAGCGTTCAGGATCCGAATAACCTGTAATTAAATCTTGTTCCCCCAAGGAGCGAGTGTGCATGCACTGGTTCCTGCAGCTTAGTTCACGTGCAAAGAACACCAAAAACAAAAACAAATAACAGAAAAGAAATAGAAAGTCTCACCGACTTTCTTTTACCTATTCCACAGAAAGTACTTAACAAACAACCGTGCCACTCCCCGGCAACGGCGCCATTTGATCGATGTAATTTTTTGTGAGTAAAACGTAGTTGGTTAATCCATAGAATAACCAGACCACGAGTATCGTCTCTCAAGGAGTGGCAAAAAGGAAGTTTTAAATACAGTCCGTGATCACAGGCTAGCACAAGTCATGGTAATCTTTCTGAAAAAATTGTTTTCGGGTGGTAAAAAAAAACAAACAACAAATGCAAAAATAAAAAGAGTAAAAAA